CGATCTAAACCTGACTCCATCACTCGATACTTGTATTATTCATTTTTCCTATTGAAATCTTTTTTATATGAGTTATCAGAGAATTTTACTTTATATTTTATTAAATTTTTATTTACAATTAATATGTGATAAATTAAAAGGTCAAAATAACATAATTAAAATTAAAAATATTTCTAACTAGTCAAATAGTCTTGGTCAAAAAAATAAATAACTAGCCGATAGTCATAGCTCGTGACATTGAATTTTCCACCCCATCGTCAATTTCCACAAACTTCGTGACACTTTCTTCCTAATTCAAATCTCTCTTATTCCGAAAGCAGTTGCCAATTTGGACTCTTTCTTTTATTGGGGTTTTGAAACATGCGTAATAAATGAATTTTTTATAATAAATTTATATTAAAAATAAAAACTAATCTTTAATTAAATATTTATTTAATTAAAAATAATAATAAATATCATTAAAATTTAATATTAAAACTTGGAATGACTTAGGTGGTAAAAATAACATCATTTAAAATATTATAATATAAAATTTATATTATTTAATAATTAACTCTTTTTATTTTTTTAAGATCTACGATATTATATATATATCAACTAATTTAATGAAGTGACTTATACCTTGAATATTAATCTTAAATTTTCATTTCAAATTTTCATCCTCCCTATCATTATTCTTGATTAAATTTATCAACTTAGTAATAATATTAAAATTAATGTCAATTTTTATATTATTTTATGAGAAAAAGAGAAAATAAGACATTCAAGCATTAAAAATTTTAGGACTTATAATCACAACTATTAAATACATAAGGTATAAAATGAATATTAATTTTATTAAATTTATTATGTGATTATTATTAGATATTTTAACATTAAATATATCATTTTTATATATATTTATGAAAAGAAAATATTTTTAACCAATAACATAAGGGTATGGGTAAAAAAATCTCTCGTTAAAGTTACTTATTAATTTGTTAAGGTTACACAATATTATATAAAAATATTAATTTTGTTTGATTTAATTATTAAAAATAATTAATAGTTAACAAAATAATTAATATTTATTATTTAATAAATTAAAATTAATTTATAAATTAATATTTTTAAATATCATAATCAACTATTTAAAAAAAATTATAAATATTAATTAAATTAAATATAATTTATGTAATCTTAACAATTTATTAGCGATAATCACACCCATTAATTTGGCCATTAGCTGTCACTACAAATTATACAAAATTATAAAAATTTAAGTAGTCAAAATTTTGAATAAAGTGAAAGACTAAAGAAGTATTTGGATTAACTATTTATTTAAATATAATTGATAATTAATAATAAATATTTAATGATAAATAATTATTATTATTTATAATTTAAAATATTTAATCTATTTAATTAAAACTTACATCTAATATTTGTTTGTAAAACAGCAAAACAAACATTATCCTAAACAAGTAAACATCAATAGTGCAAAGACGGGGGAACTGGCAAGGGACAGCCAATTTGGACTTTTAACAAACGTTTGGCACAACCGACAATATTTTAGATAAATATGGATATCCTCATTAGGTGCAACCGATCGGACAAAGCTTACTATTGTAGTAACAACAATGTCTTTACAACAGTTAAACATATACGGTAGGAGTATTATTTGGTATTCAGGTTAACACAAAAATAATTAATAAAAATAAAGAAAATGTTTTGGGATTACTTTTTATATTATATTTATTTAATATAATTTGACATGTTATTTAAATTATTGATTATTTTTATTCACATAAAATCAATAATATTAAATGTATTTACATATTTAATAACATATAAAAATTATATCAAAAAATAATATAAAAAATTGTAGTATGGCACCACCCTAAAAATAATTTAAAGAATCATCGACCACCTGAAAGCACGGATTCTACAATTAAAGATAAATGGGGCAGGACAGCGTCCTCAGAACCTTCGCGTGGGGCAAACGTTAGACCACTAGCAGTCAGGGATAGTAATGATATGTCTGGTAGAGGAATATCCCCTTCTAAGTAATGCATTACTTGGCGCATGCTCGGCCTGGCTACGGGGTTTGAATGCGAACAGAGCATTCCAAGCTTCAGTACTAGCTCCACCTCCTCTGCTGCAAAATCTGTCCCTAATTTCGGATCTTTGACATCAAGAATTTTTCCTTTTTGCCAAAACGAAAACACCTCATCAACGAGAACAACTTTTCCGGCTTGTGGCTCAATCGGCCTTCTACCACATGCAACTTCTAGCAAAAATGCACCAAAAGCAAATAAATCTGTCCTCGTTGTGGCCTTTCCCGTTCTGGTGTACTCCGGAGCTAGGTACCCTCGAGTACCTGCCACATGTGTTGTATGTGGATCCGTTCCATGATCATACAATCTTGCGAGCCCGAAATCTCCTAATCTCGCGTTCAATTCACCATCTAAGAGAACATTGCTAGCCTTGACATCTCTATGAATCACAATTTGCTCCCATTCTTCGTGCAAATACAATAGCCCTGAGGCTACGCCCTTGATCACCCTGAACCTCTGTCCCCAATTCAGGGTGACCTTCGGCTGGCCATACAGGTATTTGTCAAGGCTCCCATTCGGTAAGTATTCATAAACTAAGAGCATCTCGCCTTTTCTCCGGCAATACCCCAGGAGTCGCACTAAGTTTCGGTGTCGGAGACGACCAAGGCAAACAATTTCAGCAATGAATTCCTTCATCCCCTGTCCTGATCCATGAGAGACAATTTTAACGGCAATCTCCTGTCTGGATGTGGGCAATGTTCCTTTATAGACCTTACCAAATCCGCCGGTACCAAGTAACCCTTTGTCCCTGAATCCTTGTGTCGCCATATACAGATCTTTGTACTTGAATCTTTGAGGGCCGTATTCGCATTCCCAATCTTCAACTACATCTGCGAATTTCCTCTTCCTCTTTATGAGATAAACAACCCCTGAAACTGTTGCGTAAACCAGACTCATGAAAATCAGAGGCAACCCAATTGTCAAAAGTTTTGATGTTTGCCTCGATGCGCTGCCAGGAAGTTTAGGAAGCTTGGAAATATCGAGCTCCTTAGCTTGGCCATTAATCATAAAGCTCCAACCCAGAATATAAGTAGATGCTCGGAGACGTCCCGTGGCCGACGAGAATCCGAGATACACGGTTTCATTGACAATCGGAGACAGATCGATCGGTAGAGAGAGAAGTGGGAATTTGGGTTTACGAACATTAATTGGAGCTAAAGTGACATTCATTCTCTGTTCTTGATTATCGTACTCTACCCAGACCTGCATTGGCCGTCCACTGGGTAGCGTCAAGTTTCTAAATTGACCGGTGCTGCCCACATAATACCCAGCTCCGTGAGACTCCACGGACTTTAACCCATTAACATCAACTCCTACATGGTTATCGTCGATGTCCTCGAACTCCTCATTCTGAAACGTATCGAGTTCCACAGCAACAATATGATTACTGGGATCTCCATTGTTGCTATAGTTGAATAAGCCGAGATATTGAGTCGCGGAAGCATACGGAAGGCCTTGGGTCGGTGAAATTACAAAAGCCATTCCGTGACCACTGAGATCTCGAAATAATAAATCGGGGACTATGGCGAAGACGAAGGTGGTCGAGAAGGAGAAAGCGGTACCGTTTGTGGAGTTCTTGAGTTTTACCGAGTCCTTGTAGAAAGCGGCGGCAGTGAAGAAGGAGTAATCAGTACTGGCGAGCTTCAAGAGTCCATTGGAGCTTACAACTGCCAGGTTTTGGAGGCTCAAATCCGTCGATTGGAACCCATTATAGGTGAAATTAACATCGTCGGCGACTGAGTTTATAACCAGGAGAGTCAGTACTACGGCGAGCTTGAAAAACATAGCTAACTAGTTTTTTTCATAGGTTATCCTTTTTGTAGCATTTATATATGGGAATCCTATATTAAAAAGAAAAAATGTTGGTCCTAATTTATAAATTATTTAATTAAATTTATTTACTTTAACATTAATATTAAAATTAATATTAAATTTTATATTTTTTATATATATTTATGATAAAAAAAATAATTAAAAAGACTTTTTAATATATGCTTTAAGATAACAATTACGAGTGTAATTAATATACTTTTTAACTATTAAGTTATATAGAAAAATAAATACTATTAAATATTAATTTTAATTTTAACAACTAATCAACTAAATTAATACACATAAACATTAGTGTTAAAATTAATGTTAAATTTTTTATTCTTTGTATTAAGTAACTAAAAATTATATTAATTACATCTTAAGCCAAGTTTGAAAAAAAATATTCTAATAACCACCTCACATCATAGATTTAATATAGAAATATTTACTTGTGTTCTAAGGATACATTTATTATAACTTTCTTATTAATTTATATAAAAATTATAAAAATAAAATTTATTTTTAATATCAATGTCATAGTAAATGACTTAACTATATAGTTAATATAATTAAAGTTAATTTTTATTTTTTATATAAATTAATAGTAAAAATATACAATGAATAAACTTTTAACATGCATAAACAAAAAATTTCTAAAATATTTTTGGGTTTTGCTATTCTATCCCTTAAGGGTATAAGATAATGGTGCATTTATTACACTTTTTATTATTAATTATACATTAATTTATATTAAAATTTTAACATCAATTTTAACATCTATGACATATAAATATTTTTTATTAAACATTTGATAAAATTAATATCAATTTTTAATTTTATGATGTGTATTAATAATAAAAAAATATAATAAATATATCTTTATCTTATACCAATACAAATAAAAAAACCCAATATATTTATGTGTATGACTTATTTATTGTAATTCAAACACAAGACACAACACTTAGAGCGTCATTTGTCTTTGATTAAGCAAAATCTCACTTGGAAAACTCAACGTGCACGTTCACCACCCATTACCCAACCCCTTTGCATCTCTCCAGCTGACAGCACAATTGGAAACATAAAATTCCAAGAAATGCTTCAACAACTGACCGTTTGTGGAGTAAACGGTCCAAATAGACGGCTAAAGTCTGGTGGAGTAAACGGTCCAAATAGACTTTTTTATATCTATGACTTTTTTTTTTTATTATTCCGTATCCAAAAATTTATTGGATTACTAATTAATTCAAATTTGAATCGGATAGAACTCAATGAGCGACAAAACTCTTCTTTATAAATTTTAATGAAACTACATTCTTAGGGCTTGTCTATGACTTATTTATTACAATACAAACACAAGGCACAACCCTTAGAGTCTCATTTGTCTTTGATTAAGCAAAATCTCACTTGGAAATAGCACCATGCACGTTCACCACCTATTACCCCACCCCTTTGCTTCTCTCCTATAGCTGGCAGCACAATTGGAAAAATAAAATTCCATGAAATACTTCAACAATTGACCATTTGTGGAGTAAACGGTCAAAAACAGATGACAATGAACAAAATAAAGGCTGTACAGGGACGACAATTAGTGGTCTTGAGGAAGTAAAGGGTTGACAATAAAAAAATTCTTCATAAAGAGATGAACGTGAATAAAATTAATAGACGAAATACACTAGCCTTTAACCCTCCACAATTACTACCAAGCCGTTTGCATTACACGGGCAGCGTAACGGTATTGAAATTGTCAACCCTGAAACAGGACAGGGATAGGTGTGGCCGTGTGGGAGTGTTTTTGGTTTTTTTTTTTGGTAAAATAGGTGTGGGAGTTTCCGAGAGAGAAGCCATCGGGCATCGGGAAGGAACAAAATGTTATGTGGCCAAAAAAATTTTCCCATGTAAGTTGCAGAAATAAATAGAGATATAATTCTTTCAAGCATAAATTTTATATAAAATTATAATTATTTATTTTTTATGAGTTTTTTAATTTATAATTTAAGGATTTAAATTAATAATATATTTATTTTATTTTTATTATTAATTTACATAAAAATAAAAATTAACTTTAAATTATTAATTATTTAATTAAATTAT